CCGGGGCCGCCGGCCTCACCTTCGCCGCCCAGACCATCTCGTTCTGCGCCTGCCCGCGGTCCTCCTCGCCCTCGCCCTTCGGGCCCGCCCTCGCCGTCTGCTCTCGGCTCTGCACGAAGGGGTCCACGTCCCTCTGCCGGATCCGGCCGCCCCGGGCCCGGAAGTCCGCCAGCATCTTGGCCAGGTCCTGGCTGCTGCCCAGGTGCTCGGCGATGCGGGTGCTGGTCAGCTGATGGGAGGGCAGCACCTCGATGGCCCGGGAGGCCGCGCTGCCGTTGGCGGCCTGGGCGGGGGCCGTGTCCTTCAGCAGCTGCCTCTTCCTGCGGCTGTCCAGCTCCTTGAAGTCCTTGTTGAGCAGAGGGGAGAGGTAGACCAGCTCGGGGAAGTAGTCCCTGCTGGGGCACCTCATGCCCCGGGGGGTGAGCAGGAACGGCTCCCGGAAGGAGATGAAGGGCGAGATGCAGAGGATCACGTCCTTCAGCTCCTGCTTGAAGGCCGCGGAGTGCGACTTGAGCCGGTCGTCCGCCGAGGCCACGTGCTCCGTCACGTACAGCCCCGTGTCGTCCTGCAGGGGGTCCCGGAAGAGGCGGGGCCGCGCCTCCGAGTCGGGGGCCCCCCCAGAGCCGCCCCCCACATCCGCGGCGGCGTCCTTGCCGTCGGTCTCGTCCTGTGGGTCAGCGATGAGGAAAGGCAGAGACGTGCCGGACAGCGGCACGGGAGAGATGGACACCAATGTCCGGTGGGGGGATGCGGTGTCCACTTCGGGGTCCCCCGGTCTGGGGGAGGATGTGGCCTCGGCCCCAAAAGCAGGCACCCCTTCCTGGGTGAGGCTGCCGTCTCTCGGGGAGCCCTCCAGTTCGGGGATGGCAGGCAGTTTCTCGGGGCCACACTCCTGCTCCTTTGGGGCGCCCCCCCCGTCTCCGGCCTGGAACAAGTCGGGGCGCTCGGCCCCGGGCCCCTCGCCCTCGATCAGCGAGTGGAAGGAGCCGCTCTTAGCCAGGCTGGGGGGCATAGCGAACTCGTCCATGAGGAAGGAGATCTCCAGCTGGGAGTGGTACGCCACGCACGCCATGAAGACCAGGATCTCCTTGACCCGCGCCAGCTCGTACTCCGAGGCGCCCCGAAGCTTGACGGTGCAGCCCAGCTGAGGGGGGCAGCCCTCGAAGAACATGAGCGTCTTCGACTCCTCTGGAGACGGGGAAACCGGGGCGAGAGGGGGGATCAAGCAGACACACAATTAAAAACCACGTGATTCTCACTATCCCGTCGCCCATGCACGACACGTCAGATGTTACCTGAAACGGTACACAAAGGCAGAGCAGAAAGGCCTGCAAGAGCTCGTCATTCACGTCACTACAAATAATGAGGTTATCTGCATTAGGAGTCCGATCATCCATCGGTTCTGCTCCTGAATCTCACAGCCAGGCCCTGTGTGATGCAATGCTGTGCCAGTGT